CAGGGTAAAAAATTGAGGAATCTGCATGATTTCAGGAGTACCTGGATGGAAGATGTTCAGAAGAAAGATCCTAAAGGGTAAGTGGAGAAAGTTTTTGGAAACAACTTGGCCAGCATTATATATTTTCCAAAATTCTATAGTGGACATGACTTTTTAAAAATCGTGCTAAAGTACACATAAAATGTACTATTTTAACCATTTTTAAGTGTACAGTCTATTGTATTTAGTACATCCACATTGTTGTGCAGCTATTAACCACCATCCATCCACAAATTCTTTACACTCTTGCAAAACTGAAAGTTGTTACTTTCCAATATAGTACAACTCTCCATCCCCCTCTCCCCAGCCCCTGGCCACCACTATTCCACTTTCTGTCCCTATGAATGTGACTATCTTATATAATTGTACAGTAGTCATCCTTTTGTAACTGGCTTATTTCACTTAGCAGAATGTCTTCAAGTTTCATCCACATCATAGTGTGTGTAAGAATTTTGTTTCTTTTTAAGGCAAATAATATTCCATTGTATGTACATACCACATTTTGTTTATTCATTCATCCATTGATGAACACTGGGGTTGCTTCCATCTTTTAGCTACTGCAAACAATGGTGCTATAAACATGGACTACAAATATCTAAGTCCGTACTTTTAATTATTATGTGTATTCATCCAGAAGTGGGTCATATGATAATTCTATTTTTCAGATTTTGAGGAATCACACACTTTTCCATAGTAGCTGCACCATTTTACTTTGCACAAAGATTTAAATATTTCCCCATCCTCATCATGGTTATTTTATGTTTTTTTTTATTGTAGCCATTCTAAGGTGTGTGGTATGTCTCACTGTGGTTTTGATTTGCATGTTCTTAATGATTAGTGTTGTTGAACATTTTTTTCATGTGCTCATTGGCCATTCATGTATCTTCTGTGCAGAAATGTCTATTTGCTCATTTGCTCATTTTTTTAAATTTGGTGTTTGCTTTCTATCTTGTTGAATTATAGGAATTCTTTATACAGTGTGGGACAAAAGGAGGTTTACAGTTGTGTCATTTATTCTTGTACTATTTTTTATTATTTTCCATATGAACAACTGTAAATCTACTTTTGCCCCACCCTGTGTAATCTGAATATTAACCTCTCATCAGATAAATAATTTGCACATGTTTTCTGCAATGCCATGGATTGCCTTTCCTATAGTAAACATACCATTTTCTCTGTACTCAGTATCCTCCTTAACCTCCCCCTTTGGAAATATGGCACAGCCTGAGCCAATTAGCATATTCCAATCTAATTGCTAGAATAATTTATTTGCCCAAGGATGGGTATAGGAACCTGTGGGCCTGCGAAGTTTCACCCCAAGACTTTTCTTCAAAGCTGTTGTGAGAGATGCAGTGTCTTTCTGGGATCATGAGCTCTTCTGGCTATGTCAGCCCAACACACCAGAACCGTCATTCCTGTCACACGGAGAGAGAACCTGACTATGAAGCCAGCACAGGGGAAACAGAGCTGAGAGATCAAGAGCTGGTGATATTGTTGGAGCATTTCATTTCAGCATGTCAGAAGCCAGAGCTTCAACTCAACAACCACGTCTGGATGTTTAGTCTCGTCAGGCAAAAGATTATTTTTCTGTTTGTTTTTTTTCTTAAATTTGACTTCGGTTTTTATCATTTGCAGTCAAGAGAGTGTGCACTATTAACCGATTGGAAGTGGTGATTCCTGGAGCAAACAGTTCAAAGCATGCCCTCCAATCAATGCTTGGGAGAATAAAGGAGGTTAGAATTGGTCACTCATGTTGAGTTGTTTGGGGACTCCTGATTCTCTCTCTAGGTCTTCTGCTCTTTCCAGCTACACAGGCCAAGAGATCTAGGGACCTCAGGAGGATGGAAGGTAAGAAAGGAGACTTATAACAGTTTTATCTTAGGATAGTTTAAAGTTGTTACTTTCCAATATAGTCGGCTCGCCATATCCACTGGTTCTACATCAACAGATTCAACTAATGGCAGATCAAAAATATTCAGTGGGGAAATGTTAAATTGTTGCTGACATGTACTATGTAGTCACGCCTACTATGTGTCTACACTGAAATGTATTTTTTTCTTGTCACTATTCCCTAAACAATACAGTAAAACAATGATTTGCATAGCTTTTACATTGCATTAGGTATTATAAGTAAGCTAGAGATTATTTAAAGTCTATAGGAAGATGTTCAGGTTATATGCAAATATTATGCCATTTTTTATAAGGGACTTGCGCATCTGCGGATTTGGGTATCCGTGAGGGGTCCTCGAACCAATCACCTACAGATACCGAAGGACAGCTGTATTAGCCCCTGTAAATTACAGTGCTCTGGATAAATCCTGGCACCTCAGTTCATTCACTCTACAAGTTGGTTACTCATCCTGAGAACACAGCTCTCCAGGACTGGCATCTTGGGGCTAGAGAGCCTGCTCCAGCCCATCCCCACTTCCTGACCACATCACCTAATCATGAAATGCAGTTTAGAACTAAGTCAATTAGATGTCAGATCCTGTGACCACTCAATTTATTTTTTCCTTGGGAAAAATTATTGGCCTATCACCCTGATTCATTTCAGTCCCACCTTTAGGCATGCAAAGTATTCAGAAAAGAAGACACTGCTAAATCACATACAATCTCCAACATTCTGTGTGATTGGAATTAGCCTGGTAGCTAGGAGCAGATAGGTTTTCTCCTTTTTCCCTTTCCTCAAAACACCCACATGCAGAGCTTATTTACTTTGCTTTTGGATGACCAGAACTTTTTTTTTTTAACAGCTGAATAGTAAGCCCTAAAAATAGGAGTTTCTGTTATAACAACTGATAGAACTTTAGTGCTATAAAAGACATTATGCTAATGAAACCACAAATCATGAGCTTGGCAGTAGTGAGGATGCTGCTAAGGCATTTGCCTGTCTTTTTGCAGGCCAGTAACTAAAGTTATTTATTTCTTTAACGTTATGTTTAGGAATAAGTTACCTTCCCTGAAATTCCCCTCTTGAATGACATAATTTTACATAATGCATATTTGTGTGTTTGGTTAAAAACAAAATGGACTATCAGAGTTTCCTTCTGAACACAGTTTTAATCATGTTTATTAACTACAAAACATCAGATGTTTGCAAACTGTGACCATAAAGTGTTGTATCCTGAGGCTGCCTCTGTTCTCAGGAGAATAAGTGTAATGTTTTTTAAATAACCAATCCCATCTTCAGCAAACTTTCCAGTTGCTTTCTCTTCTTGGGATTTTTTTTAAAACTTAGACCAAAACAAAAATAAGATTATCTGTATTAGTGTAGGCAAGTGGAGTTAAAGTACATTTTCCATTCAAAACAATGTCTAAATGAACGTCTAAATTCATCAGCCTTTCACTGCCTAATAATGTGACATGTTTACAGTGTTGAAGGAAATCAGGTGTTTTCATGCTAAATGAAAATAAAATTTATGTACTGTTATTACCATATTCTTTGCCTGGTGTTTCTCACTCTATTCATCATTAAAGGCTGCTCAATAAATACTGTGCAAGCTGCATGTGGGAATGTTATGCAGTAATAACTCAGAATCAGCTATAAATAACCACCTACCAGAGCTTTGGGAAGACTCAAGGGCTTAAGAGGGAATGTTTGCTCCCCAATTGCTAAGTTGAGAAAAAGAGAAATATTGGCCTGTTTTTTCTTTATATCTGAGACACTAGAAACAGGGCTTGAACATTAACAGTCTGCCTAATAAAGGTCTTTATCCATCATCATGTGCACTGAGGCAGGCAGTAGGCTAAATGGTATAATTTCAGAGACTAAAGTTCCCTCTACCCAACTACGTTAGAAAAGCTAATGGAGAAAAACTTACTTGTGTACCCTATGTATTAGTTATCTATTGCTGTATAACAAATTATTCTGAAACTTAGCATCTTAAAACATCAACCATTTATTACCTCACATAGTGTCTGAGGGTCAGGAATCTGGGAGCAACTTAACTGGCTGGATCTGGTTTGGGGTCTCACAAGATCATAGTCAAGCTGTAAGCCAGGACTATCATCATCTGAAGGCTGGACCAACCGGAGCATTTTCTTTCAAGCTCACTTAAATGATCATTGACAAGAATCAGCTCTTCCTTGGCTCTTGGCTGCGCTTAAGTTCTTTGCCACGTGGACCTCAGCATAAGCCCAGTCACAATACAGCAGTTTGCTTGCCTCATAATGAAAAACCAAGATAAAAAGACAGAGTGAGCTAACAGAGAGTGCCCCAAATGGAAACCGCAGTGTTTTATAGCTAGTCTTAGAAGTAGCATACCTTTTGCCAGGTCACACGTATTAACCTTGAGACAATATGGGAGAGGACCACACAGGGTCTCAATACCTGGAAGTGGGAGTCAGTTGAGTCCAGCTTGGGGGCTGGCTACCTTCCTCTTAGGTGATGCTTTAGAACAGATTAAAACGTGAAATGAATCAGCAGAGTCCATTTGAAAGAACACGGTTTAGAGTTAGACATGGGCCTAAATCCTAGAGTGATTCTTGATATCTTCTGATAATTACTTACACCCCTGAGCCTTCAACGTCCCATCTCTAGCCTTTAACAATGCTTCTCATGGGGTTGTTGTGAGTGTTAAGTGAATCATTATTTATAAAGCTTTCCTGCTGTGGAGGTTCTTTTAAAGGAAGTTAGCAACAAAAATAAAAACGTGGGTTTTTTTTGGTAAGGTAGCAAAAGAAATCCAAAAATAGTATGCCATACTATACTTTGGAAGGTACAGTGCCCTCAAGCATGGACTGCCACAGGTGATTTGAGGGTGTTGATAATGTTCCAGAAAGAGTAATGCTTCTATTAGTGAGAACTAAGGTAATGCTCCTACATCGCTATATTGGCCAGAGTTTCCTGGGAGTGCTGTTGAGTCACTTCCCAAGCATTTATTAAGCACCCCGGTGCCAGACACTGGAAGGACTAGGGTTACAAAACCAAGGAAAACTCAGTTCCTGAAGTCACATTGCTCCTAGTCTCACCTGAGGGTGGAGAGCAGAGTGAGGAGACAGGCACAAGACAAGTCTAACCTGAGGTGGGAGTTTGAAGAGGAAGTGTGCTTGCTCAGAGGAAGGAGGGCCCGACTGCCTGGAAGAGCAGAGAAGGATCCTCACCCAGCTCCTGGCATTCAAGCAAAGAAGTGCCAACTAGAGGGGGCAAGAGCAGTGTGTGCAGCATGGGCAGAGAAGGGGGATTCTAATGTCTGCAAGTAAGTACCACTGCCTATTTTCAATTATTTAGGTTGTTTAGGCAATGCAGAAAGGATGTGCTTTAGATCTTTCAAGTCAAGTTGGTGATCCATTTTAACGCAAAAAATGGAGCCCATGAATCTATTACTGTTGGTTTCCTATCAATAGCCAAGTGTCCATTTTAGACAGAGAGAGCGGTGTTATGGACATTTTTATATTTGTATGTTATTTCCTTTGTTTTTTTCACTTACACAATATTTATCCCAAAATTCTTTAGCAGCAGAAATTCAATTTCTATAAAGTATGATTCCTTTCACACCTTGTAAAATGCCAAAAATATATACTCCATTATATTTTAGCTTATTTCCTTCATACTAAAGGCATTCTCCTTTTTTCTGCATCTCTGAGGTCCAGGGTTGTAAAGTTTGCTCCTGACTGAAAAGGGAAGGAATTAATTGAGTATGTGATATTGTTAACTAGTCAAGGAAAACCAAGAGATTACTTGTTTAGTATATCTGACCATGGGTTAACAAGATATTTTGAGATTTGATCAAGCCTAAAATCTACTTTACATATTTAACTTTCACCCCCTTTTTATCATTAGAGTTCCTTTTTTAAGAGACATTGTTTTGTGTGCTATCTACAAGGAAAGAAGCTGAGAGTAGTAGCTGGAAGTAGAAATCGTTAGGAAAATATCTTAGTGGTTTAGTATCAGCAAAACCTAATCATAGAGCTCTGTTCTCCAAATCTGATTTTAATGAAAATATGGAGATTAAATTTTAAATAGTCCAATAAAGTTGATACAAAAGTGAAGTTTAGAAACTCTTTTGGACTGATCAAAAAAATAAAAATAAATATAAAAAGACCAACATGGGCCCTAACCAGTTTGGCTCAGTGGATAGAGCATTGGCCTGTGGACTGAAGAGTTCCAGGTTCGATTCTGATCAAGGGCATGTACCTTGGTTGCAGGCACATCCCCAGTAGGTAGTGTGCGGGAGGCAGCTGATTGATGTTTCTCTCTCATCGATGTTTCTGGCTCTATCCCTCTCCCTTCCTCTCTGTAAAAAAATCAATAAAATATATTTAAAAAAAAAAAAAGACCAACATGGGATGATAGGAAAAGCACTGGATTAGGAATGAAGAGAACTATTTCCTAATTTAAGTTTCAACATGTTTGTTTGTTTTTTAATCAAAATATGATTGACATATGACATTATGTTAGTTTCAGGTGAGCAATATAACAATTTGATATATCTTGTGAAATGATCATCAAAATGAGTCCAATTGACATCCATCACCACATGTAGTTACAAATTTTTTTCTCTGATGAGGACTTTTAAGATCTACTCTCTTAGCAACTTTCTAATATACAGTACTGTATTAACTATAGTCACTATGCTGTACATTACATCTCCATGACTTATTTATTTTATAACTGAAGTTTGTACCTTTAACCACCTTTACCAATTTCACCCACTTGCACCCCCCACCTTTCACAACCACCAGTCTGTTCACTATGTATGAGTTCAATTTGTGTTTGTTTTGTTTTATTTAGCTTCCACATGTCAGTGAGATCATACAGTATTTGTCTTTCTTTGTCTGACTTATTTTAGTTGGCACAATACCCTCAAGTCCATGAAAATTATTTTTCTCCCCACTCTGTTTTTTAGGAACCCCTATAAAGTAAAATAAGGGGATTTCAATTGAATCAAAAACAAAATGAACAAACAGAACAGAAACAGACTCACAAATAGAGAACTTTTTGTTGGTTGCCAGATGGGAGGGGGGTTGGGAGGGAGGTATTAAGAAGTACAAATTAGTTGTTACAGAATAGTCATGGGGATGTAAAGTACAGCATAGGGAATACAGTTAGTATCTAATAACTAGGCATGATGTTGGATGGGTGAGAAATTTATTGGGGTGATCACTTATTAAGTTATGTAATGTCTGGTCACTGGGGGTATACCTGAAACTAATATAATGATATATGGCAACTGTTATTTAAAATAAAAAAAAGATTAAATAATTTTTTTAAAAAATGATTTTTCCAATGTTTCTTCCTGTTTGGAAGTATTTATAGTTTACTGGAACTTGGAAATGAGCATAATAAAAGGAATATGTGAGTTCTGTTTGCATTTGAGAAACATTTTGGCATATAGCATTAAAAATCTACCAATTCATTTATTTAACAAAAATCACTGAGCACCTATGACCAGTCAAGCCCTCTACCAGGCCATGGACCAAAGCAAAAGAAGGAGGCCTGGTCCCCTAGGGTGTTTGGGGTGGGGAGATAGTTAGAAGCACAGACAAATACAATGCCTGGGAGAAGGGCTGTGAAAGAGCTATATGGCATGGTACCGGGAATTGAATGCTATTTCCCGTTTAATAATTTTTGAAGTGGAATCCCTTTCAGCCACATTAAAATAATAACTAAAACAGCTTCCAAATCTTACATCACAATATAAACGGTGTGGTAGACTCCAAAAACTTCAGGCCTTCTGTTAATCCGGTGCAGAGAAGGCATATGTGCTCAGACATCTGTTTAGACATCCACTTAGCAAGCATTCGGTCAGCCTGGCGGGGCCAGAACCACAGCTGAAACACATATAGCTCCAGACATCAGCTGCATGGGAACCAAATGGTGTCTTACCAAAAATTACCTGAGAATTCAAAGTATCCAAATAGTTTGACAGGCACAACCAATAATTTACAAAGGAAAACCCACAACACAGAGACATGCACAGCCCCTAAATTTAGTGAGGAACCATTCTGATTTTTAGTTGTCTCCCTTTACTACTGAAATTGAAATCCTCTCCATAGAGCCTGACAATGCATAGCACCACGAAAATAAGCCAAATACAAAGATATGTTAGGTGCTGGCCAGAGGATGGTAGAGTAATTGGTAAGATCACACCCATTCAAAACACTTGGCAATATTGGAAATCGTTGCTTGTCTGATATTCTGTTATTGTTATGAGAAGTCAAAAATGGAAATGCTTTCTATTTTGCGATTTTTCAGAGTAGTAATGCAATCAAATGGACTATTTGGTCATTACTCATTAAGAACAATTAAAGAAAAACCTAAACTCCCCATGCTCCAAGAAAAAGGGAGTTCTAGAGCTTTGCTAACCACTAAAGAGAGAAACTAGTTTCAAACATATTTAATCAGTAAACTTAAGTTAAAGGGCTGTGGTAACAAGCAAACACCAGAGCTGATTTGATACTTGCCTCATCAATCAATGAGGACTTGCTGCAGAGAACGCAGCTCTGAAGCCAACCCATCAGTGGCAGCCTTGCATTCTCAAAGCCAGCCATTGGGTGGCACAAACACTAGTGAACGTGCTTCTAGAACAGTGATGGCTAACCTATGACACGCGTGTCAGAGGTCACACGCGAACTCATTTTTTGGGTTGATTTTTCTTTGTTAAATGGCATTTAAATATATAAAATAAATATCAAAAATATAAGTCTTTGTTTTACTATGGTTGCAAATATCAAAAAATTTCTATATGTGACATGGCACCAGAGTTAAGTTAGGGTTTTTCAAAATGCTGACACGCTGAGCTCAAAAGGTTCGCCATCACTGCTCTAGAATCAACCCACTCTTGTCTCTGTCACTGACGCAAAACCCTGCTTCCAAGACTATAGCAACCTTCTCTTGCCTCAGAACCAACCCCACCCAAAACAGTTCTTCCCCAAGCCCTTTGTAGGGCCTTTCTTTGCTCAGTTCTCTCTTACTTAAGCAATAAATTCAACTTCGTATTTTGGAGATCAACAAATTATTTGAAATTATAAGATGAATCATTAATTTTGTATTCCTCATGCAGACTTGTTTTTCTACATAATGACCCATTCTATTAAAGTATTTTATTTACGAAACATTCTTTATTAAGTATAGATTCAGACTCCTATGTAAAATCACTCGTTTTTTACAAGTTTATTTTTATAAATTCTGAACTTAATTTGTCCAAAATTCAGCTGGGATTCCCCATTTTTGTTTATGCCATAACCATCCATCTTGTTCTCCAAACTGCAAACCTTGGACTCAGTATTGACCCTTCCTCCTCTCTTTCTTCTCCAGGCTTATCAATGCTATTTCTGAAATGTTCTTTAAATCTCTGTCCTCACATCATGCCTTTGGCACTATTCATGATTAAATATTTCAACTCCTTTGTGCCAAGATGATTAACAGTATTAAATTGTTACCTGAAGTTCCTCTCACCCTCTGATGCATACCATGTGAGCCAGCCCATTGAAAATCTGTTTACAAGTCCCCAGAATCTCTTAGGAGACCAGTAGAAACTCCTTAGTATGACAATGTGGCACCAATGATATTGAATTCACTCTCCTCTTCCTCATTTGGACGCTGGCTTTCACATGGACCTCATTTGGACTTCCATAAAACCTTATACTCCCCCCTGTTCTTCCTAAAACTTTCTTTTGTTCTGAACATGATTATATCCCTATCACAGGCTGGAAAAATCCCACTCATACTGAAACCATCTCCCTACACTTTGCAATCCATTCTACTAGCAAAGCATAGAATTCCATGGATTAATGCTGATTGTACAGTGTTTTACTCCCCTACTGGAAGCAACTTAGGCATGGGCAAATCTTATTCCTCTTTGGGCTCTATTGGTCAAACAAAAGGTAATATAGAGTAAGATTCCAGCAAATGTTAGATTAAAAGTATTTCATTGGTATAGGGACTAGTTTCCACAGCTGACTTTAATGTATTCATGGGACTTGTAGAAGTTCTTTACTGATAACTCTTCATCCTATTAATCCCCCTGACCTTGAACTCTCATCACTGCCTATATTAAGGCCTGTAAGTTTCTATGAGCAAATGTTAGTCTCTGGTTTCATATTCCTTCTGCTGGGCTCTCTCTGAGCTATTCTTATGAGAGAATGCCAAGGCATTCCGGAATGAATGTTTGCATGTGTTTCTGGAGGAATGTTTCTTGGGCTTTCCTGTCTTCACTGGCATTTTAAAGGAATGACTTCTTAGATGGCAGCAGAA